CCCCCTTGTACCTCGCTAGGTGGGCTGGCCTTTTGGGCCATGCCAATAGCCCAGACACCTTCTCCGTGCTGAATATGTATATTCTGCCCGAGTATTTTGTCTTCTTTCGTCTTCAGGGGGGTCCCGGGACGCTACAAATATATGTCAAGTTCTACCGACTGAAGAAAAATGAAAGTCTGAGAAATAACTGAATGATAGGCATTGTGAAGGTTCACAAAACGATAAAAGGCATGCATCCTTGTAAAATAACCTGCTTTAGCTCATTTTGTTTAAGATTCCGATGAATTTTTTGCTTTTCGTCGAATAAGTAGCCGTTGTGCATATCCACTCAAAATCCTGAGAGTGTTTTTGCGAAAATAATCCACTTTTTAACCTTTTTTTTCTTACGCCACAAAAAGTAAAAACACAGTCAACATCGTCATTTTAAATAGAAACTAGCAGTGATTTAAATTTGAAAATGACTATCGATTGCATACAACGAGAACGCCTTGTGCCTAAAGTACAAATAATAAATCTAACGATTAGTGCAAATTTAAAAAAATAATTTTTAGCAGCTAGTTTAAGATTCTTTTTGCTAAACTAGCTAATAGCAATTGTAATTCAAATGTTGTTTGAATGTACCGGTAGATAAGAAGCATTTGGGGAGTGCAAAGTGCATATCGCAGGCGCCGTTAAAAGTCTTCGCTGTTGAACGTGAGATCGGAACGTACGTACTCCTACTCCGGATCGCTTCCCATTATCGATCAACAACAGGTATGCCCTTATCAAATTTACTGACTCTCTCATAGGATCTGAAAACCACAAAGGAGGGGATAAACGATAAGTCAGCTACACTACTGGCAGCACCACTGAAGCTCCCCGTTTAAAGACTATATGGACTTTAAAGAATTCCGCAAGTGTCACATTTTGACTTTATCGTTTCCTGCTACGCCTGCGAATAACCCTGCTTCTCCGTGTTTTTTGCCGAGATCTGTTTGCGGCTGCAACAAACGGCGATATCACTCACAACACCAACCTAAAATAATGTTGCTATACCTTGTCCCAACTCCTCATTGAACAGGAAGAGCGCATACTTTCTGGGGACTTCTTTTATCTCTCCAACTAAGTGGACGAAGGCGACGAGAAGTACGCAAGCCCTAAACTTATACCAAAAAAGCCTTCATTGGCTTACATTTAAAAGGGCCGGTGGATGATGACCATCCGTTTTGAACACGGAGTTTGATCACCCATCATAGTCAAGAAGCTGTGAAAAGTGGAAAATAGCTATTTCAGCCAGCTGCTCCAGTATGGGACCATGAAGTTTCAGGAGCTACTTACGCTTTTGCGCTACAACATTTCCAACAGACGATCAAACCCAGCAACTTCTTATTGTGCCTCTTCACCCTATACCCCAAGATCATTTCAGCCTTCCTACTTCGTTTTGAATCTCCCCAATTCATTTTTGGCAAGTCCCAGGTCAGTCAGAAGGACGTCTTCTCACTGCCCTACATTAATGACTACCTAGACCCCCTGCAAGGGTCAAAGTGGTTTTCCAAACTGGGTTTAAAATAATGGTGCCGGCAAGTGAAAGTGGCACAAATGAGCAGACCGATTGGGTGCTGCCGCTTTTGTTGGTATTCATTAGGTGGTTGAATAAGAGTTAGAAAAGTGTGCATTCCGGCTTCTCGTCTATGGCGGGGATTTCTGAGGCGCCCCCCGCCGCTCCATTGGGAACTCCGTGTTTTCTTAGTGCTTTTCACCTGAAAGGTGTATTCAAACAAACATTGACCAATGTCGGCGAATTATTTACAAATCCGTCAGTTGCCCACAGACATACTTGATATGAGTTGTGGATGTTTCTGTAGACTAGTCCTCCCGATGTACGTTTCACTACTGACGATGAACCAGGTGGTGGGTGACACCCTCCCAATGCTCTGCTTTCTGTGGTCGATGGCAGACGTTGTCGAGCTTCTTGCCTCTTGTAAGTGCGTCTCTGCCTCCGCCTCAACATGATCACCTCACTCGTGTGAGGCACAAGTAATGACGCCTTTGTTTCCCACCGACAGATGGCGCCGGAAGGGGGAAGGTCAGAGTACTGGGTTGCCCCCCACCTCTGATCATGAAAAGAAGTGTGGCCTGCAAATTCACCTACTCCAAATATGGCCACCGCCACTTTCCTCGCCCTCTCCCTCACCCTCGTGTTAGTCTCCGTCATCCTCTACAGTCGGCATGCCTTCCAAGGTAGAGCGTTGAAGCGGTGAAGGAGCCAGGTGAGTGAATCCTTTTGCTTACCTTGCCAGGACGTGCCTTCTGTCACTGATAGGTAGCTTGCAAGATACGCATTTAATTGCAGGCCTACCAACGTAGTATGTTGACGTTGAGGCGTGGTGACAAATTCCTCTGTGGAATGTCTGCTCGCCTTTCGAGGTGAAGTTCACGGCGAGGACGTGAGAGGCTAAGTACCACCACCAACTGCGTGACCCGTGACTGGCACTATGCAATCATTCTCATGCTGAACACCTCTGTGGCTGACCTTCTCGTCACCATGGACAAACTGTGCATCTTGAGGTCTTCTGCCGCTATCCACGTGTTCGCGATTGACGCCTCTGTTGACATGAGACCACGTCCGCCATGTCCCCCCCATCCATCCACGCATTCCCTCCTTCCCTCGTATTTTAACTCATTACCTGTTGAAAGATAGGATATAATTATTGTCGATTGTTGAACCGTCTGTTACTCGTGATTTCGCTTTCCCCCAATCCTCGTGGGTGAGCAGACAGTTCGGAATTAGCGACTCTGAAAGAGCTGTCATTCCCGCTAGTAGCCGTCGTGGATGCTCCTCGGCAGCCCAGTCCACACCCCATCAATCAGGATCAGATGGCAGACATCATTAGTAGCAGGTGTGTGGGATGAGGAAGTGTCCTTCAGACTGTTTACACAGCTGTCGCTTCTGTGAGCATTCACTTGCGTGGAAGGCGCAATGCCCCAATGACAACCTGTGGCGGGACAAGGGTACATAAGGGACAAATCCTTCCATGAGCGTAGAAGGCACTCATCCACGAACCTTTGCAGTTCCTAAGTTAGGATAAGGCAAAACATTTTGGACGGCTCAGCTGTACCAACGACTCCAGGCGCTGGGTAGGAGCACCTCACCTGCGATTTCTATGGATACTGATCCCACGGGAATGTCACCTCCAGTGAAAGGCACTCTTACCGATATGGTAAAATCACCACACTATTTTCTGCCTTGGCCTGCAATTTGCTACCACTCAATGAAGGGCTGGAAGCTGCTAACGTGGAGGAGCGACTTCAGGCAATCGATCTCCATTTAAGTGTAGGTTGAACCACGTGGACCTCACTTTCACCGCAGATTCTGCCACAATCCTTCCACGGTGATGTCCAAGGTATACGACTAGACTGCCAGACCCCTTGTATGCCAGCAAGACGCCAGCTTTGGTGATGACGTGGAAAGCTACAGCGCGAAAGTAACAGCATCGAGCACTACCCTTCCTAGTATTGGAACTTCAACATCACACATTACTTACATCTTGAAAATAAAACATGCCAGTATTTTGGCACCTTTATTGCAATAAAATTTCCTGTTCAACAAGTAGTTGGTTCTACGAGTGGTTATCGTTGGTTGTCAACGGAAAGAATGAAAAATGACAAATCACCACAAAAGAAATATTCATCATAATAGCATAAAAGCATGTAAAGGGAGGGAAATCTCTATACTTTCATTTGCCTATAAGTCCTGAATTTCCACTGAGTTTACTTAAGCAAAAGACTTGAGCAAGACTCAACTAAAAGTTGTCAGGGCTTTAAATAAATTCCAAGTTTACACAATTGCAGTATTACCGAGAGTAAAAAACAAAGTTTATTATTTGGCCAAAAAGGACATCGTATTCAAGGTTGAACATAACAAGTAGTCGATAACAAAAAAGCCCTGTAGGCTTGCGGTGTTGGTCATGCAATTATCCACTTACGTAGATTTTGTGTACAACCTGTATTCTATTTAACGCCCTGGATAACTGAGCTTCTTCTACCATATTACAAAATAACTGCAACAGTTTAAACAAACAGATTTCTCGACGATTGGGTGCGTGGGCCTATTGGAACACATCCGTCGCGAAGTGTGCACACCATTACACTTAATGAGGGAACGAGGTCAAGTTGGTTCTTCATGTCCTCCTACCCGAAATCTGCATGTGGGATTGGAGTGCGTTTTACGGTTACAAATCCTGAAGAGGAAGACGTAAGTCGCAAAAGCGGATTGCCTGGACAAGATGAAGGACCTTCGCGGGGAAGAGCATTTGCAAACTTCTTTGAAGAATTCGAGAAGGAGTCGGATGGCATGTCACAAACCTCCCAAGTAAACAGAGGGTGGCAACAAGCTATGCGAGATTCCTTCGATCAGGAAAGAAGTCGAGCAGCTTGCGACTCCGTTGAATTTTACAACCAGCACAGTTTTACGGAATCCTACCTACATGATGCCGATCCGGACTTGGTATACATGGACCGATACGGTGGGCTGTCGCAATCGCTTGTCCCTCACTCTTTTTACTCTGAGGTTAGTACATCTCTCTTCTACTGTTTTCTGCCCTTTTTACATCCGTATATTCCCATCGCAACGGCTAAAGCTAATTCCGATTTCTGGCAAGAGTGGGTTTTTTGTTTTATTCCCAAATTTTATATTGTTTGCTTTAAACATTGATGTTCCACGGTGACATAGGATGATCCAATGAGTGAGACGATACTTACACATGATCTTATTTGCGATCTAGGTGCGCCTTTATTCCGTATGAAGTTGGTTCTGGGCTCTCCATTTTGTACTTTCATAATGATCCTTAAATTTGGCATTTATTCAACTCGTTTCCATGTGTTGAGGTTATCTTAGGATTTGTGGGCAGTCGAATTCTGGCGATACTCTTTTGTTGGCGACTAGTAGGTTCGTCATGACTGCTTTCGATTGCAATTAAGCGTCTTTGCCATCAGGGCGTTAAGTTTGGGTGTGTCAGTTCCCTGTAATAGTGCTGAGGCACGTTTCTGCTTAAGCCTGGCATAACACTGGAACTTAGGTGTGTTGCAGTGTTGGTGGTCAGAAGTAGGTATGCTCCAATCTGCTAATTCGAAGTGACCATTGTCACGAAGCAGTCAATGCTTTTTCAATTCCAACTGCGTTACTTAGGTGATTTTGCTCAGCCTTTTACCAAAGCTGAGTGCAAGAATGAAGGAAAGAATAAGTGCTTGCTTTTTGCTTTGACTGACTAGACAGATTAATTGCGTTCATGCACCCATTAGCTTTTTTGCACGCAGTGACTGTGTTAAAAAGATTGTGCGACTTGGCGGTTTCTCAAAGTTTACACCGTTACTATTGTGCGTGGCCCGGATTGTTTATGCCCTGTGTACTTGGGTGTAGTTGGGGTGGAGGGGGTGGGCTGGTCGACTCCATAGGTGACGTGGAACACGCTACTGACCATTCATGGGAAGTGGACTGGAAGTTGAGTAGCCAAAGTGGCCTGCGGTTGACTGTTTCCTTACCCGTCGTGAACGGGGTCGTTTTTCTATCCCTCGACTGTGTTTCTTTTCCACAGGCAGTTCCCCATGTTTCGGTTTAACAATAAATTGTGCCATGGCGCTAGAGAAGGAGAATAATTGCTGCGTGGCAATTAGGCGACCACATTTATCTCCACATTCGACCGCGGACTTTGCTTTCTACCGCTCTTCCTCTAACTTATAGCATGCAGTGATTTTTGTCACTTTTCGTCCCTTCCTTTTGCATCCGAGTGGCCTGACATAGAGGTCATTGGATTGGCTAATCGTTGCACAAATCCTCTTGTCATAGATGAAAAATGTATGTGGAACAGTGGATTAGCTTTTGTGGGGTGGGAATTTCTCTTCGAAATCGTGGGAATAGACCCTAGATGTGGATGCATGTTTCTGCTCAGCATAGTTACTTTTCCGTTGTGTCAGGTCTCCCGCGAAGGAATGTGGGTCCGTTGTGTGGAGGTTGGGAGGATCTTGAAAGAATGGTTGGATTGGTGTTTGGAGAAAAGGTAGGGTCCGAATGATCTGGAAACATTTCTTCATCTTGTTTGAATCTGGAGGCAGAAGGCGCAGTCGTTGTGTGGCTTTCAGCTGTAGCTTTCCCGCCCACTGCAGCAGCACCCTCCACTTCTCCTTTCTCTTCTGTGCAGCTCATGTAGATCTCCACATTGTCTTGAACTTCCTTTCGCGTGGACTGCCATCACCCTTTATCTGATTCGTTGAAATAGATTGTCAGTTCATCTTCGTGGAACGCTTAATGCCAAACGACTGGACGCTCACTCCACAAGGCATGCTTGATAGTGAAGCAGTAAGGCCTCTGGTTGTGATTTCGAAGGTGGTGGTTGAAATTGTGGTGAGGCGTGTGGTTGTGTCGCAAAGCGCTTCCATTGAAGTCACCTTGAAAGCCATGTTGAATCCGCGTTGTCTGAGAAGATTGTCACTCCACCAGGCACCCTGCTCCATGGTTTCCACTTTTGCATTCGTGCAAATCGTTGTTTGCATGGGAAGTGATTAGACTGCAGACTGGAGGTATGATGCAGGAGAGTGTGTTATCGCTGAAGCCGGGTGGAGGACGACCTTAATTTGGAATTCTGAGTCAACACAACTGAGCTGCCATTCCAACGTCGAATGGTAAGGGCAAATTTCTCTTTCTACCAAAATGCCATTTTACAGGTTAAATTTCATAATGGCGGTTAAAATCTGGCGACTCTCTACCGTTGTTTTGAACTGACCCTTGTAAGAGAAATTCACGATTGCCAGTCAAGGAATTGGAGATTGGAAACCCAAACACTGAACTCCTGACCTTGCATTTGCGTCCTTGTGGCTGTGCACTTAGTCGACCTCGATGGCCCTTCGTTGGACTTTTAGTTCTAATCAAGAAGTTCCTCCACCTCTTCCTCCACTTTCCTTTATCCTGCGAGTGAATGGTGGGAAGAGGATCTTAGACATGGAGACATGCTTCTTCATGCCTTGGTTGCTTTCCCATGAGGCAGAAGTCAGTGTAGCGTCAGCCATGGGTTGGGCTGAAGGTGTTGGTGCTCAGGCTTCTGGCGCGTTGCTGGCGATTCGGAGTCAAGGTTCATTTGGAGTGCGGAGAAGACGGTCTAAGCCATCATTTGTCTCCTCTCTCTTGTTTCAGTCGAGTTAGTCGGTTGGAATTGGTGTCAGGTCTCCTTCGAAGTTTGGGACACTATTTGAGGGATTGTCATTACTCTTCATTGAAGCATCTTTCGATGAATGGAAGGCGTTCTTTCGTCGATTATTTCGCCAACGAGGTAAATGTGTAGGAGGCACCTGTCATCCAGCAGCCAAGTCAAAAAAAGTGGCAACATCTTTACCTCTTTGTAAATTGCTTCTATTGAATCGACATTTAATCTGCATAGCCCGAAAATGCTGGCACTCTACTGGCCACCCTAATCTCCCGTTTCCACTTTTAAGTTTGCATGAATCGTTGTTTGGTTGGGAAGTCAATGCACTTCGGACTGAAGGTGTGATGCGCCAGAGTGTCTGAATTGAGGCATGATCAAACGCACCCCCTACTCTGCAATTCTTTCGTAGCGGAAGCCCTCCCATCTCAATACAGGTGCTTTGAAACGAGTCTGTGCAAAATCGGTGTTACGTTCAATTGTGAAGGGAAGTTAGTTGGTAGCTCAAATCTCCTTTCCTCCCTGCCCTCCCCCGAAAAGGCCGCCACTCGCATTTTGCCTTTGTTTCCATGCCTTGATTAGCTCCTTTTTGAGGGAGCTGTTGAGCATCTCGGAAAGGTGTTCAACCCCAGAGACATTGGTTAGCTGCTTCTAGCAGAGCCCCAAATTTACGAGTCCAGAGGTGATGTAGGGGGATCGCCTTCTTTTTCAAATAAGGTTCGCTTTTGGTTATGAAGTCGTTTCTCACCTCAGGTGTTAGGTCCACATCGCCTTTCATTCTCGCACTTCATCCGGTGATTTGACATGAACTGACTTTCAGGTTAAATAAGCGGGACTAGCGACCGAAGAATCACGCCTCCTCTCATTACAACCAGGTACAGCAGTCTATTCGGAGTAGTCGGTGCTTTGCAACACCACCCTGCCCGCTTACATTACGCCGCTTTCAAAGCGCCTGCGGTCAAGTGCCCTGCCTAGCATTCCAACCTCTTTTCAAGGATACAGGATTCGCTACCGATTTGGAGTGCCTGCTCCTTCAAGGGCTGGGGTGGTGGTGACGGTGGTGTTATTCCAGTGGCTTTAATAACTGTGATACTTCCATACTATGTGGAGTAACAAATCCTTGTAATTTACTTCACTGCTCACACACCACCGAATTCGCATGACACGTAAGTGTCAGTGGGTGTGTGCTTGTGTGGGAGAGTTGGCTAATTCATCACAGCGCCTACTACGGGTGGTGCTGCTTCTTCAAAGCTACTACTTCCCTCATTTCGGGGCCGCTGTGTGACCGCCTGTTTTACCGGATAAATGGAGTAAAAGGATCGTATTTCAGGGTGTATGTACGTGTTAGCATGGGTTGCATCTACGTCCTACTATCTCTCTTCCACTGATACCACTTTTTTGTCACCACCCAATCATCTACCGTCTTCTATTGTGCTGTGCTGTGCTGCGTGGATGGCACACCCAGAGCCGCTTTCTAATTGGCTGGCTATTATTAATATACCTTCCATTTTCTTTGTGTATCTCTCACAGGAGGATTGTATTTTTGCTGCGATGGATGAATCGTGGCCTCTTTTTGCCTTTAAGCCACGATTTAACTGTTTGGTTGAGGACCATCTATTCCAGAAGATATGAAAGCTCGCTTTGGAAGGTCATCGAGGTCAAACTTTGACTGCTAAGTTGGCGAAGGAAAGGGGATATTTTAAGGGGGGAGGGGAAAGTACATGTACTTTTCAAATTGTGTCGGTTGCTGCTGCTTGTCGCCTTTGCGGCTTCAGAGCGGCAGGTCATCCATCGATGAGGCGTCCAGGATCTGGCAGGCGTTCCATGGACTAACTAACTACCTGCAGAATGGATAGCTGTGTTTCAGGCTGGTCACGAATCCCCAAAGCCGAGGCCTTCACTAGTAGATGCATGACCTTTAATAGTTATGGCATCCAAATGCCTCACTGTTCAGTGGCTAGTGTCCAACTATTGTGATTGAAGTCTTCTGCAGATCCGTGCGGATATACGTGGATTGACATTCGATGCCTTTGTTGATAGGAGGCTCCCCGCTTTAATTTGTGGCACTGGAAGTGTACCGGCCAACGACAGGCGCGCTGGCCATTGAGAGGGTTGGAGAGACAAGCTTGGCATTCATTGTCTGACTTCAACCCGCGCCTTACCGGTTGGTAAGGTGATCAGCGAAGCATCCGGTTGCTTGAATGCGTAGACTGGTTGGCAATCAGGCACTTTGTGGATGCGATGCGCGATGCCTAGCACGTTTTTTTGTAAAACCTCGTCTTTTGGTTCTCTGCCTTGTGTAGAGTGCAAGTGGACTGGGCAACAGCAGTAGTGCAGGCGCTCCACCCTTCTCCTCCGCCTTTTCCCTCAGTCGTCGTGGTGCAGCCCACCAGATGTACAGAAAACCCCCCAAAATCCTCGCTGGTCGATATCTTCTCGGTGGCACCATTGGATGTGGCAGTTATGGCAAGGTATGGCTTCTTATCCCCCCTCCCCACATCTTCAATCTCCTCTCCTCAGTGCTTTGAAAATGCCCTCCGGGTAGTGTGTTGGAAACAGCCATCATTCTGAAGATCTTGTGTCAGGCATTGCAAGTCTGGAGGGATCGTCATTACATACGTAGCGAGTCGGGAGAAGGCTCATGTAGCCAAGGCTGGTCTCCACCTTGTTTTGCGTGTCTTTTCTGAAGCTCTCCTTTTAGTTCCAGTGTCACAAGTCTTTCGGTGACTTATAATGCAGCATGAGGGTGAAGAAGTACCTTTCCGGAGAAGAGAGGACTGCTTCCTAGAAGCGGAAAATCTCCGCTCAAATGGACGGTGCTGTCAAGTTGAGCGTCACTGACTAGTGATTGCAAGTCGGATTAGCAGAGGTTTGGACGAAAATCGTTCGTTCTGGCAGGTTATTCCGCTAATTCCAGTTACCCGAGCAAACCGAACTGCAGTCATGCGAATTAACAGCGCCAATAACGATGGACGAGGTACGATAAACAATCGAGTGGACGGAATGATTTTTTGGCGTCTTGGTCGTCATTAACATTTCACATTCATTTTTTCCTTCCAAATAATCGTTCATCAATCCCACTGTCCATCCACCTCCCCAAACTCCCTCTCAACTTTATCTGTCCGACCATGTCTGCGTCCATTTGTCAATGTGGACAGTTCAGCTATTCACTGGACAGTGAAGAAGAGAACTCGCTCCTCTCCGATTTGACGATCCGTCTATTTGATGGTCCATTTTCATCACCTCTAGCAGCTCAACTAACATTACTTTTCCTCTTCCCCTTCCTTCAAACACAGGTGAAAGATTGCTTGGATCTCCTGACCCTCCGTCGCTGCGCTGTTAAGATCGTCTCTAGACTTGGGGTTCGAAAAATTCCCGGTGGCTGGTCTCAGGCCCTTACCGAGGCCTGTCTCCTTCGCTTCCTCATGCCACACCGGCATATTGTTTCTGTGGCGACAGTTTTGCGTCTCACCGACCCCGATCGAGTCGCCTTGGTGATGGAACATTGTCTTGGTTCTGTTCATGATCTCCAAGCTGCTGGTGTGCAGTCCGCTACGTCTGTCGCCCCTCCGGCAGTCGCAGCAGCTGGAGCGGCAGCGAAAATGGATCCCAATGAGGGCTTTCATCGAATTGTCACGCTTCCGGCCATTGACGGTGAGGTGGAAGATACGGAGCCGGAAAACCAGGCCGTCATAAAATTGCGGAAGCAGTCCGCCTTCAATAGCCCACATCCTGCGTTGCTTGCAGGTGTTGGTGGTGGCGGAGGAGGCGGTGTAGATATAACGGAGATGGGATACCAACAGTTTCGAAGGCTGCCAGAGGCTCAAGCACATGCCTACTTCATTCAAGTGAGTTCCAGGCGGTTGTGGAATCAACAGATGGTTCGTCAACTGATGGTTATTTTGATTTGGTCTGTAATTTTTTTGCCAGGTGATAGATGGACTGGCCTACCTTCACGCTAACGGCATCATCCACCGAGATATCAAACCGGCCAATCTGCTAATCACACCGGCACCGGGTTCTGGACTGAACTTGCCCGCCTCCCTGTCTCATGAATACCGCGGCAGTGGTGACACCTATCAACCGGGTATGGTGCCATTTACGGGTGAGGAGGTGCTGCGACTCTCACGAGGCTACCTCATTAAGTTGGCCGACTTTGGCGTCTCCGTCTCCATACCCGCCTTCGCGTCCAGTGATGAGGTGTGTGTGTGTGTGTGTGTGTGTGTGCTGTGATCCCGTATCCATCTCGGATTCCTTCTTGTCTGATTCATTCCTAGCAGCCCAAGTCGATTCGCCTCACTAACATTTCCTTTCTCTGTTGCCTAGGTCGGCGCTGGCCAAATCACACCGGCCGTTCAACCCCCAGAAGTGGCTAAAGGTGCACAGACCTCCTTCCACGGTCCCAAACTGGACGTCTACAGTGCCGGCGTCTCCCTATTCTTTATGCTCACTGGTCGCGTGCCCTTCAGCAGTCCAAACGTGCTTCAGATCTTCGAGGCCATAGCTGAAGGCTTCTACGTCATTCCCGGCCATGTCTCCACTTCTGCCGCCCACCTCATTCGCGGCATGATGTGCAAAAATCCCCAAGTGAGAGCACCCGAAACTCATTACTACGTGTATTGCCCCTTTTCCGGTGAAATATTCGCAGCCACTCTTCGCCCCATCTGCATCTACTCATTTCTTTTAAGTGGTATATCCCCACTGGACGATGGTTTGCTTGATTAACTCACTCCCCTTCTCCCATTCCAGTAGCGTCTTCTCCTCTCTACTCGGTTTGACGGCAACTGCTGATATCTGCAAGACCCCTTGAGATTTACCACATTCTGTGGCGAGAGATCCTCACTTCCATACCACATCATTGTGCACTCCACATCGGCCCGAAAATTCTCACATCCGCTCAAAAGCACACCATTTTCTTCTTCAAGAATCACATTCTTAAATCATACAAGTTGCACCCATTCCTATCCGCCTAAAACCAAAAGCAGAACAGCTCGATTGTTATGACATCTTCCTTGGTGTCTAGATTAGGTTGAGGCCTGATTAAACGATGGAGGATAATGTCAATTCCGCGTGGATGTGCATGCATTGTTGATGTACTCCTCCAACTCATAAAGGTTTGCGTATGGGGACGGGTAGCCTTTCAGAGTGTTCAATGATACAAGGACGACTTACCACCTCTTTCTAATAGTGTTTTTCCCCACTTTTTACTCGTTCTCCTCCTTCGTTTAGAAGCGTCTGAGCTTGGAGAATGTGGCCCGTCACGAATGGATCTGCGACACAAAACAGCTCCTCCCCCCACCTAGTCTTTCTACCGCCGCGAAGGCTTGCGTCGCTCACTGGCGCTCCGTCATCAATGCCTCCTCAGTCTCCAACACCACCACCACCACCGCCTCCGTCCCTCCCACTCCTGTGCCTCGCGGCTTTGCCTGTTGGCTTGATCCTCTCCTCTACCTCCGTCGGCCCACACCGCAATTCGAAGCGCCACACATTGACGAAACCGGTGCTCGAATTTTCTCCCTTCCCGAGATTGACTCAATGTACGCTCTGGGGCATATTATCGACTCGGAGGCACCGTCGTCACCCCCACAGACTTTGCCGCCTTCACCACCACGTCCGCGCTCGCCGACCCGTTTCAGTGTCAAGTCGTTTGACGGGGAGGAGAGGGGTGAGGTAATGGTGGCTGCAGGAGCGGGGATGGATCTGCTACATTCACCGTCAGGAGCGTTGGAGGAACGGCAGATTACGCCGTTGTCGGTGCTGAAACACTTGAGGGTGGGTGCCTTGAATGCTCGCTAGGCTTGATAGTCTAATCATTTTCCACTTTGTCAACCCTCTGGGTGTTAATACAACTCCTTGCAAGAGGAGAGTGATGTTGTCAATTCTGATACCGACGTAGACCTTTTGAATGCACCTTATTAACCGATTTTCAACTTCCTGGCAGAACTTCCACAACTGGCCTCCGCTGCCAAGTCAAGCAGAAACCTGCGTAACCGATGAGGTTCAACCCTTCTCCTTCAGCTTCCAAGACGCTGGCGAGTCCGGAACGCCCTTGGAGGAGTCGCTTTCTCGTCTTGGTGAGTGTTCTATCTGGAAGTGGCATTTGAATTCCACACTCACCATCTGCCTGTTGAAATTCTTCGATTGTATCGTAGATGCCTTCTATATCACACCAATGTCGAAAGCACCGACCTTGAGCACTTTTCCACTTCTTTATTCTCCTCCTCCTCCTCCTCCTTTCATCTTAGGGATCATGGACTACGGCGTGGCGCCCGTACCCTCACCACCACAACAGCCTCCGCTCTTGCTAGTCGAAGAGCCATCCCCTGCTGACCTCCAGCCATTTGTACGTCCACCAGACATCTTTCCGCCCTGCGAGAGCGCTTGTCGTCCCTCAACTACTGTATCACGCGTCTACTGTCACTCCCAGCCCATATTTTCGACGTCTCCGTCCACAGAAACGCAGCAACAGCCGCCCACCTCACCACAGGACATCCCTGTGGACGAGAACCATCGCTACACGTTGAGTACGGGCGCGCTCACTTCCGAACAGCTCTCCTCGTTGGCACGACACATGGAGGAGGAGCAACAAAGGCGTCTTCAGCAGCAGCAGCAGCAGCAACAGATGACGAATTTTGCAAGTCTGGTGAGTGGTGCGATGAATTGTCTGCGCTCCTTGCGGTGTAGGAAACTAGACGAGTTTTACATCCAGTCCTGGTAATGTTTTGATTCCTTTATACCGTCTCCATTCATCCGTCCCGTTGTATCCTTTCTGCAACCTTTTACCTTTCATACACTCACCCATACATCCATCCCGTGTTCCTGCAGTGGTGAAGCAAAGTCACTCCACCCCTGAAGTTCCACACGAAAGTGTGCCCATTCAATCACTTTTCCAGCGTCGTTCTTCCGGTACACCCGCACCTGAGCCTGCAATCGAGGTTGCTGAGAGGTGCACAACTCACCAGGAGGGCAAACCGCGGCATCGCAGAGCTCCCACTACCCGTCTTACCCGTTGGTTCTCCGATTCCATGTCGTTGATACGCAATCACTTCCGTTGCCTGACTGCTGGCGCCGGCTGCAAAAGCAATGCGACGATGGAACGCAACCAGACGCAAGCGCCGCATCCTACTGCAACCCAAAGTCTGCGTTCAAACATCACCGTGCCAGAGGGAGAGGATGCAATGCCCACAGCTTGTCATCGAGTCTCCATCCTCCCCTCATCGACGGGAAGAACAGTGGCGAGGCTGACCGCCAATTCAGCTTCCTCCGCCTCTGTCTCCTCCTCCACCTCCTCCTCTGTTCTGCGTCGTCACCGACGTCGGAGACGTGCGCCTCTACCGATGGATCCGACCACCAAGAACTGAATGTATTGCATTGAAGACGATGTTTATTCAATGTCTTCTTTCTTTCACGTCTTCTTTTCTCTCCCCCCCATTGCCCCTCGCCCTCGCCTCCCCCCACGATCATATCTCTTCCACCTATAGAAATGCATCATCCCATGTCCCTCGTCATGCCGACATTCTCCCCTTCTCCTCCCCCCGCAAGACAGACATGTTGATAATGATTACTAAGGCGTGTTGTCACTGTCGCGAATAATGCTGTCCACAAGAGTTGCTGATTTTTCACAGAGGAGGCTGCTGTTGTCATTTGCATCCTTGGATGTGACGGAGGGATGGGAGAGGAAAGATTGAATCGGAGGCTTGAATTCGCTTCCAGGATTTGCAGGAACGGCTGTCGTACTGGGAAAGCGATTGCAAAGTTTGGAACGATCACGTTGTCTTTGTAGGCCGTCACCGTAAGCTCGGTGGACGCATTCGCTGTCACGGCTCCTCAGTGTCGTGGTAAGCGTCGATCAGACTCGGCTGTCACTCTGGCAACTGAGTCGGTAATTACTGCACGTCCACATGTGCCCACCGGAGGTGAAGCCACAACGTCCAAGAGGTGAACAGTCAACGATACTTATATTCTATCAAAATCAACAAAAGGCGAGTTTAAAACTATGGGAGAAGGGAGGGAATGAAGGAAGATTGGATGGATTAATGGGTGGAAGGAGGTGAGCGTCGAAGGTTCCTTGCCAATACAGACGTCAATTTCGGATAAGCGGGCGTTCATATGTAGGGACATCGGCGAAAGATCTCAGGGATGGGATAGTCAGGCACACAAACGTTCAAAACGAAGGTACGGGGATGCAGAAGTGTAATATCAAACTCCTCTGTAAAGCATCTGTTTCCCTTTCAAGGCGGAGGTCACAGTGGGGAGGTGAGATGGTGTGTGAAGAATCGGGGAGAGGGAGGGAGATCTGTGTCCTAAGGCTCAAACGCTGAGGTGGGCATTGTACTACGCGTCCGCAGCAGCAGTGATGCTTGGATCCGCCTGCGTGTTGTGAGACCTCGCGCCTTGACTACCTCGCCAGAATAGAGCAGACAACACGTCGGTGACTAAAGGCAAGGCAGGGCAGGGTAGGGAAAAGGATTCACTCACCTGGCTCCTTCACCGCTTCAACGCTCTACCTTGGAAGGCATGCCGACTGTAGAGGATGGCGGAAACGAGCACGAGGGCGAGAGAGGGGGCGAGGGAAGTGGCGCCGGCCATAGTTGGGGTAGGTGAATTTGCAGGCCACATTTCTTTTCATGGTCAGAGGTGGGGGGCAATCCAGTACTCTGACCTTCCCCCTTCCGGCGCCATCTGTCGGTGGGAAACAAAGGTGTCATTACTTGTGCCTCACACGAGTGAGGTGATGACGTTGAGGCGGGGGCAGAGACGCACTTACAAGAGGCAAGAAGCTCGACGGCGTCTGACATCGACCACAGAAAGCAGAGCATTGGGAGGGTGTCACCCACCACCTGGTTCACCGTCAGTAGTAAGAGGTACACCAAGAGGACGAGTCCACAAAACCGTCCACAGTCGGTCGTATTCGAGACAGCCATGTGTGCGCGCAACTGTCAAATTTGAAAGCAACTCGATAGCATTGATCGGCAGGTGGATGAACTTTGACAGGTGACACGCATGCGGTTGGCGGGTGAGTGCGCATGTCGAACACGTGAACGCAGCGTCTTTGGCCTTGGGATACGCAGACCTTGACCAACAGTCATTTGTCGGTTTTGTCAATGACTTTTCCGTGTTGTCGTCCTTTCTACCACTTTGGAGGAGGAGAAGGTATTTCTTGGGAATGAATGGGGCCTGAGTAAAGACAGGTCTCTGCAATAAAAGGACAGTCTCCTGATATTGCGGAGTGTTTTCCCGATGAGCATTTGCAGTTATGGTGGCACAAGTAGGCAAGTGGAAATGATGCAGCGCTTTACTCTGGATCAGATGGTCCTCGTAGGAGGGCCGCAAATGCGATGCCTCTTACCACTAGCAGCAGTGCGGGTCTTTTGGCAATCTGGCGAGATGTCGGTTGAGGTTCCACCTTTGCAAAGGAGTGGTTGATTGGCAGATTACTGGAGAACCGGGTGTGCCTTTGGGCTGGTGGTAGATGTCGAGGCCACTGAGACGGTGGTGGTTGTGGCTGTGGAACCTGATGAACCTAGCCTGTTAAAGTCGCAATTTGATCTGGCACTCTGGTTCATGCCCGCCTATATCCCCTGAGAGGTAGCTCTCTCTCCCACCTCTCTCTCTCTCTTGGGGCGTTGAAGGTCTTCCCGTGGTCTGCAGCTGGCTGTGCGAGCCAGATGGTGTCAGCAATGCCTAACAGCACATCTTGATCGCATGCTGGGCGAACTCCGTCGGCGAATGGATTAGTTCGCTGTTAGTCTGTGTTCAAGGTCCTTGTAAAATCTCACCTCGGTCTTTGAAGGGCTGGTAGGTCTCCTTAGTTTCCCCTTCTATAACCCTGAAGACTACAAGATGGCCCTCCTGAATGGGGGTTAGGAGTTTGTGCCCATTTGACACCTACGAACACTTTGAACTAGTCCAGTCACTGAACAGGGAGGATTGTGTACCTAGCTACTCAGCCTTTCGGGCCAGATATTAGTGGTTGTTAGTTTTTGTTACTAATTATTTACTCATTACATCAGTAGTTGGTTAAGAATGTTTTCTTCACCTTTTATTTTTGTAATTTGGTATTGGAATACCCGTTGAAGATCAGCTACCGGGAGGGGATTTGAGGTTAAAGACGTTCGAAACTAATAAATTTGCTTATTAATTTAACAAAACTCAAAAGATTTTGTAGCCTAATGCTGCTGAATTGCAGAGCATTAAAGAATTTATTATATGCAAAGAATGAACGTATTTTAACCCACCTTCACTACCGCCTGTGAGTTAAGCAAGTCATGCCACGTTTGACATTTAGGTCGCCTGGAGTTAGAGACATTGCAATGTCCTTACTGTGACAATTGCGCAATACAGCTCCAAGTAGAATAAAAAGAACAAAATTTTAGCTTATGTCAAATTTAAGAATAATGGCAACTTACAATTGGGTGCTTAGTAGAACCCCCTAATCCTTTTGGTCAGCATTGGCATCGGCGCTTGTACTATTCGACGGCTGGTGAACCAATCAGCTAAAGGTGAGCCGCTGCGCCAATGAAATCGCGAATTCGAGGCAATTCTGATTTGTCAGTTTCGTTGCCTGATGTGCTTTCTTCTTTCGCCTTCTTTTACTGCGAAAATTTTTACAAATTTGCCATACTTGGTGACGTGATTTACTAAAAAAATTGGAAGAGTGACTTCTAAGCGCGAGTTCTTCATCCCTGCTTTGTAGGTTAACCTACATAAAGTAATGACAGCCGGCGGAGACGTTGAAACTAACCGCTGCGATGGGCAGACAGAGGGCGCCAACTCTGTGGAAAATTGACAGAGACGGGGGATGCTTCTACCCCTCTCAGTCAAGGAAGTGTAGCTCATGAACCTCGATGGTATGCAATTAAGTTACCATCTAATCCCTTTCCACGTTGTAGAAGCCTCCCGGAAGTGGCGTTGACAAAGATTGTGCACGAAGTACTTCACTTCCAATTTTGAACCATATTTCCAGGCTTCTCCCAAGCGAAGCTTTGGAAAGACCAGTTCCCTTCTAAGTCTGGATAAAGCAACCAGCGCAGAGCTGAAGTCGATAAGTCCTCCACCATTGATGTGTGGTAAAGCAAATTAAACCATCTGGATAACAATTCTTAGATTAAGCGAATTCCAATCTGTATTCCAAATAAATCCATCCATCCTGGATCCGTCCATCCATCCACCCACCCCATATTCATCCTTTCATTCATTCCACCATCCCTTCATCAATCCTGTATCCATCCCATCCGAACGTCTTGTATCCATCCGACACTTCAACTTTTTTAGATCTATTCTACCGTCCGCACGTCCATTCGTTGAAGTGAAGATGACCTTCACTGCGATGGTATCAACAAATGGGATGCGTACTTTACAATCTTGCGGCTGGGAGGGAAGTAAGCCAGCTTTTTCTCTCCATCTACCGCCAATGGATGTTCACAATAGCGAAGGCGAAGGGAGTGTCATGCCATGATGTGACCACCTCCCCCTGACAGGTGAATCCCTTCCAACTTCAAGTGAGATTGGGTGGCAGTAAAAATGACATGAAAATCGCACCAAAGGCAGGAAGGGAAGAGCCCACCTGCAAGAGAGAACAGACACTTTCAAGGGGTCCACCCAGGTGCTTGTGCATTCGCATCACTGCTACCTCAACGCTGTGAACTCGACAAGAAAATCCAAGAAGTCCGACTGCTCGTTGCCTAGAATGCCCACTGCTTTGAAGGAATAAACTCGGAGGCAGCACCACTGAATACCTCTAGAATAGAACTGGTGTGCCAAGTGCAGAGCCTTCTGTCGACGCGGAGGAGCCGAATCCCACAAGCAGTGGGGGAGCGATTATTGGAAGGCTTCCAGAGTAGTCCCATTACACACCTCACGTTGAGTGGTGGCTTTGAGTCCGGTACATTAGGTGGAAGGCGGATAACTAACCAAGTGGAGAGGAGGCGACTACACCCCTCCACACTCATCCACTTAAAACTGTCTCCTGTTTTTCAGGCGGAAGAACATCAACAGTGCTCCTACCGGCTGCTGGTTTTGAAGGTCACGCAGCCCCGACAAACCAGCCAATCATTTCGTCCTAATCTTCCAAGACCTCAGAAAACAAACACCAGACGAAGTTACATCGATGCAGTGCCCCAAAATGAGATCACCTCTGGCGTGGTCTTGAGATACTTGAATCAATTACACATGTAGCATCTCGATTATCTTACCTAAGCACTGCGTCACAAATACGTGACCCACCTACTTTATCCGTGAATTTGTGCCCGTACAGGAAACAGATTACCTGAGGTTGAGACAATAAAGCAGAGCACACTGATTGTCTTCCTTTCGAGTGGCAACCGATGACGCCAGTAATGACAAGCCACAGAAGAAGCATAAAGCATCGGAGTGTTACGGGAAGCAATTGCACCAATCGGCGATGGCGAGTGGATAGCCTAGAAAAGCTCTCCACGCCCGACTAACTGTGATCCTCACGTTGGAGGCCTCGATACCCACTCAACGGGGAAAGCACCAGGATAGGGAACAGCAATTTGGACGTGGGTTGCAAAGGGGTTAACCATCACGTCGATACACATCTCCATGACGCACAGCTGTGAATGCTTCCACCCTTCCATGGCGATGGGGAAAAAAACACACGCCGAATAAAAGGAACAATTTTGGTTACCTAATTTACATGGAGAAAGCGATCAGCAGTAGAGGAGACAATCTACACGGCCAAGTGGAGGCAACAATAACGCGCGATATGATGAAATGAAGGGAGACTACACCACAGGCTTCCAAGAGCACTAGCCAACTGACGCCTCCACTCTTTTCTCCGAGTACTCGGCAATTCGACGCTTGATGTCCGGTGTGAAGTGACGGATAAGACCCTGTCGGGGGAAGAGGAGAGAATGAGGCAAGATTAGGGAACAGTACAATTGTTACCATCACGCTGTTGAAAAAGGAGCGTCTTGTACAAGACACAGTGGTAGATGATAAGTGCGCCTGCATTCCATTATGCGTCTTGGACAAGCAGCATCCACCAGTCACCGTCAATGAGAGTCAGATGGATGACATCAGTAATGGTGAGGGCCTGCATTCAAAGGCGCGGGTGGTGATGAAGGAAGTGTCTTGCCAACAACCCCGCGATGCTTGAATCCACAAAACACCTCCAGTTTGGAATGGAAGACTTCTACGCTTTTCAATGAAAGTTCACAACGCTTCTTTGAGTGCATACCCAACTACTATTTGACCCCAGGAAATATGAACCTATTTGTTCTAGCGGTTTCCCCAACTGATTTAACAAAAGTGGTAGCGCTTAAATGACTCGCCGATTCTTTCGCTATCTCCTCTTCCTCGCACAAAAAGGAAAAAGTGGATCTCACCTGAACAGGCCAAGAGGCGCCCTCGCCAAAGGCGCAGATGGTGTGACCCTCGATTTGTTTGGATATCTCGTTGAGGAATTCAATCTCCTCCTCCTTCGCGTTGCCCTTTTCTGTGTGGCCAAACAATGAAAGAGGTGAGGTGAGAGGAAAGCCTTACAAAGCTGGTACAGAGCAACCAACAATTCTCAACTTTTTTCTGTGACTGCGAAATTATTACATGTTGAATAATGACATGTGACCTCTGTTGCTTCTAGACGAATGAGTGGAGCACAAATAGCTGAATGTGAAGAGAGAAAAGATGAATGGATAAGGAATCGATGCGAGGCCTGGTTAGTGAATAGATGGAAGGATAATGAATGAGATGACATGAGTGAATGAGGAGTCTGATGTACAGACTGGCACAACCGGATTAGTGAATCGACTAACAAATGGTTAAGGAGAGAGACGGATAAACTCTGACAGACGTCCTTCAATTATTTCAGTCCTATGGGGCTCCGAGAACTGATAGATGGGTGGATGGAAACACGGAGGGAGGATGGATAGTTAGATACGGAATGAGTAGGTGAAGGGACGGACGGGCACATTCGAAATTGGTCACTTAATTGGATAGAGAGGAATGAGAGAATGAACGAATGCCTAAGGATCAGTCTCCCTTTGGCGATTAAACGCTCTACTCTCAATCGACTGCCAAGAAGGCCGAACCAATACCCTACATAAGAAGAACATACGAGGAATGTACTCACGGAAGCGCTGCATCACCTTCCACATCCACGCGCAGCCCTCGCGACATGGCGTGCATTGGCCGCAGGATTCGTGCATGTAAAACTCACTGAGACGCGCAATACAGCGAATTATGTCCGCCGACTTATCTATCACCACAACGGCCGCGGTGCCCAGACCTGACTGCACCTCGGCCAGGGCGTCAAAGTCCATCAGCACTGTTTCGCAGATGCTGTAATCCAAAAAGACCGGCACAATCACTATCCTACTTACAAGTCTACCCATGTTCCAGACATACTAGGACTCTTGCTAAGGCTTTATCTTCCCATTTCATTCTCCCAGATATGGTGAGTCGAGCGCTTATGAGCGAGCTGTTTCGTCAGTGAAGATACCAATGCTATTTAATAAGACGCTAGAAGCTCAATTGGGACTACCACTAGGGGGCGATTGCCCCCACTCTTCCATAGTCGACTCAACTCGAAAGGTGAGGGAATTCTGGGTAACGACATGGGGTGGGTAACGAGCAAATTGCCCCAGAAGCCATATACAAAACTCACCTCTTTGGAATGACTGGCGTGGAACTGCCACCAGGAATGACCGCCAAGAGGTTGTCCCAGCCTCCTCGCACACCACCTGCGTGACGCTCAATCAGATCCTTCAGAGGAATCGACATGCTCTCCTCCACCGTACACGGATTATTCACATGGCCTAGAAAGGCATCAACACTACGGCGTACACACTACCCCCTTCAAACAAGATGACAAGATTTCATCGAAAGGCTAACCTACCAGAGATATTGAAGAGCTTGGTTCCATGATTTCTCTCCCGTCCAAACGACGCGAACCACTCGCCACCCCTTCGGCAGATAGTGGGCGAGGAAGCCACCGTCTCGACGTTGTTCACTGTCGTGGGACAACCAAAAAGACCCACATCGGCGGGAAAAGGCGGTTTCAGACGAGGTTTGCCCTGCTTCCCCTCAATGGATTCAATAAGAGCGGTTTCCTCACCGCAGATGTATGCACCACCACCACGATGAATGTAGACGTCAAAAGCATAGCCTGAACCACAGGCATTTTTCCCGATCAATCCAGCATCGTAGGCCTCGTTGATCGCTTCTTGAAGGATACAGGCTTCATTGTAGAATTCACCACGAATGTAGATGTAGGCTGCTTGAGCACCGTTACCGACTCCAGCTATCAAACAACCCTCAATGAGAGAGTGTGGGTCGTGGCGGATGATTTCGCGGTCTTTACAGGTACCTGGCTCTCCCTCGTCGCCATTAACAACCAAATAGCGAGGACTAGAATAGAAATAAGTGAGGTAAATGAGACAAACCGGCCATCATCCGGTTTACGCATGAAGCCCCACTTAACACCGGTTGGAAATCCGGCACCGCCACGACCACGAAGACCTGACTTTTTAATCTCCTCAATAATCCAGTCTTGACCTTTCAAAATGATCTCCTTTGTCTTGTACCAACGGCCCTAGTAATAAACACGATATGCTATAGTAAGGAAATATTGTACTCTTTGAATTGCGCCTTTGAGATGCCAATCATGCCTGCCATAGAGGTTGTTAAAAATGCGATCTTCATCTTTAAGAGGGGCCGCAGCACCGCTCTATAAACGGTAGGCGATTACGAACAGAGTAGGAGGTAAGGAAATAACCTACCACGGGTCGAATGATCTGTGTTAAAAGAGTTCCAAAACGTAAGCCACGACCTAGGCACGAAGTAATATACTTATTTAGTATGTAGCAAATTAACGAGGAAAATAAGTTATTAGATGATAATCATGTGCATACATGCCGCAGAGCATGAGTAAATTGGTTAATAAGTTACATCAGCACGATTTTCCTACCAAGAGCGAGATGCGACTTATTTGGATTATGCCAAATTAAATACCAAAAGAGGCACCTAAACAAGTGAGGACTTACAGCAAGGAACGAAAAGTGTCACTGTCCCAGCCATCTACAGCTACTAACCTGGGCTGTAAAAGGTAAAAAGCGAGTTGAAGAGCAAAGACTATTGGTCAGACTTGATCCGCTTCAAATCAATCGAACTAAACTTTTATCAGAATATTTCTGTGTTATTGTGTAACTACCCAAGTAGTATAGAGAAATAACCATCTATTAGTGTTTTTACACATTTTGGGTGCGTGAATATGAGGACAGTAAGCAACAGTGGTGGCCCTTTTGGGCGTGTTACTAATTCGAAATAAAAGAGATTTCGTACAGGTTGTTTTGCATTGTGTTTAATGTTTTTCCAATTTATTTGTTGTTATTGAGTTTGTATTTGTCAAAAGGTCTGCTTGCGTAGTGTTCAAGACAATTGTCGAAAATGGCACACATTGATGCATGACAACTGAGTTAAAAGCGTACTTAAGGCAAAATATTTGTAATGTTACGATCTGTACTTAAACACAACCGTGCAAAAAACAAGTTTGTAGGGCGGAATCCCTCATATATTGGGCCATCCTTTTCATTCCCGTATGAGATACCCTTGTCCTTTATTGTGCATAAACTTCCCGATTGTCACCAAAAGCCCATGCACAATTTGGCGACTTAATACGTTGTCTTACTCTACCTTTTACTATGCAGGCACCTAAGTTTCCACATTCTGAACTGCGGCTAGTCGTCATGGCCTTCGAGCCATGTTAGTAGCCCCCCGCCCCTTCCGTAATGCGTTCCGCCCCACTACCGTGACACATTAGGGCTTTAGAGACGGCATGGAAAGCCACATACCCAGTGTGCATCTTCCAAAGTGTTTGCCTCCTATTTTTTACACAGCCGATAATTGGCAATGAGAAATTTTAAAAAGGACAAATCTTCTAAGGTATTGTACAAAATACGCCGAGTTACGAAGTCAGGAAGACAATGATGATGTAACGACGTTAACAAGGCTTGAATGACGAGTGGTGGTGGGGTGATAATTAGACTGGTAAATATTCTTTCTTCATTTCTTCTACCACAGAATGGGGAGCTTGAGGTCCTTAAAACCACCGGATTCACGATAACGCCAGTAGGCTGGATTGAACTCATACGAGGTGCCGTGCCTGTCTGCTTGCAGAGGCTTTGTTTTTTGGCTGTAATAAGGTTTAAAGAACTGTGACTGCATAAGCTTATGGAAGTTAAGCGATGGCAGGCGGGATGACAGAAAGGATCTACCTGAACCAAAGGGGTTTACAGGGATTATTACCCTCAACATCTCGTGAACTGCAAAGCTTTAGTCGACGACGTTGTTCGTCTTCTATCCTTTTATTATCTGCTTCCGCGTCTTCAACTCTACCCAGCTCCAGAAGGCGGATGTCCGGTCGAAGACGCGTATCGGTGATTGGCAGACGACCAGAAGAAACCGCATCTGGCGCTGGAGGTTCGTTAAGTTCAATAGCAAACTGCGTGAAGCCGTAGTAGTAAGATGAGTTTGACGGAAGGGGATCTGTTGGTTTGAAAACCATATTACAAGGCAGCAAATCTTCGGACTAATTCAACTTGAAATATTCTTAACTGCAAATCTTAATATCAGCTATTAAGTAATCTGTTTTAAGCGTGAGCGTGATTCTGCCTACGAAGTAGTCGGACCTCACACGAGCCCTAATTCACAGAAAGGGGATAGAGCAGGTGCGTAGGGACTCTAAAGTCCATGGAAATTACTCAAATATTGCATTGGTCAAATCAAAGGAGATAAACGATTATGCTTAGGTAAAGTGTAGGGACTCACTGGCCCTCCAAATACAGCGGTCGTCATTGTTCTCGTCCCTTGAAACAAGTATCTTGTCCCATCGTCCGTAGATAGGGCGTTGCGGCTCGGAGGATCCAGGCGGCGGTTGAACGGTGCCACGGACACTTCGGTACGTGTCTTGGCGCCGAGTGTCGGACTGATGATAAGGAGAAATATGCTTGATTTTTAATGTTTACGAGATTGCCCTTAATTGGTTAAAGGATTAGACTCGGTTAGGGGCTGTTACGAATAAATCTATTTTCGGTTTATATTACGCCCGGCAGTCATCTGTGATGGCTTAATATATTGCTTGAAAGTAGGGTTAAATACGCGGACCCTTTAGACTCAGCAGACTACGCCCTTGTTTTGGCAAGATTGCTCCGCAGCCATGCCTATAGACTCTCAACACTTCAAGAAAGACTCAAGGTGCAGCAAGACAAACAGTTCGTCACTGAAGTGAAGTTGTACAAAAACTTGTGCAGACCTGGGAAACTTCTGAGTTATGACCAAACACAGCAAGGCATAAGGAAAGAAGGTTAATTATCAATTTACTTTAAGGGCGATTTAACTTGTCACGTCCTCGTGGGTGACTCAGGCAACTGCACTGGAACTACAAGGCCGGTGCACAATTTGTAATTTTAAGTCAGTAAGGGCGTATTTGGCTTTAGCATATTAAAGACTATGATTTTCCAGCCTTCTTGTTTTTACTAAATGCCACCCTACCATCACGATAACTAAGTATAAACAGTTGTCGAAATCGCCCGCGGGCTGATATAATCGTACATTTTGTGGGACTCCTATAAGCCCACGAAATTAAGCAAAATGAATTCGATTGTCGCATTTCTTCTCTTGCTACTTAACTAACAAACATTGAAAAAAAACAAGTAAATACTGCCAAGTCTTGTTTTAGTAGCTTCGTTTCTATGGATGTTTTACTGCTGAGATTTTAACCAGGCTTGGATCCTGTGATCGCCTGAATTAAACTGACACACAGTGAAAGCAATAAATAACCTAGCCATTCAGTAGAAGAGATTTAAATAGATTGGTAATACAGGAAGCTTGTAAAATTGTTTGTCCAAGACTAAGCTTTCGGATGAGAAACAGGGGAGGAAATGGGCAAAACAGGCAAAAATTTACTAGCAGTGTGCCAAATTTCTTGTAAAATGAAGAGAATCCAGTCGGTTGAATAGTGTGACCTTGAGTTTCCTGGCCCTCTGCGTAGAACGGGGGGCTAACGTTATACAAGTTGAATACAAAATGTGTGCTGCGGCTTCGTAACAAGCCTCTCCCCCGCCCCCCACTTCTTGGGCATGTGCTGTTAAACCTCACATTTGCGCTAACACCATAAATGTTCCTTCAGTGACTAGAAAGGCATGCAAAAATCCCACCGAAGTCGCCTACTTCATGCCAGAAATCAAAGCCAACTTCGATGTGATGGAATGCACGTTTTATAGTGCATTACAGCGCAGCTAAATTTCACAAATTTTGTGACTTATTAATAAACATCACCATTAATCCACGTAGTTTTAAAGTGATTAGGTTGAATTGAGGCAGGATTGTTTGCTCCGGTAGAATTGTGCCTAACAAACCCTTGAGGTCATTCTACAGGTGAAAATGGCGTGATACTTTGACAAGAGCACATGATACTTATGTCACATGATGGACAGGTCTCACTGATAACGATGACCTTTTCCCTACTAGGTGCAAGTTCTTGGGATGATCGGATTCTCCCGTTTTTGGCAGTGATTTTACCCTCGTGATTGACGCCCAACCCTTCCCCCCACAACCCCACCACCTCACGACTCTACTCGTTTAGAAGTTCAGCTCATCCACTTGGAGACAGGAGATTGTAATGGCGAAGGAGGCTTAAAAGTCGCCTCCACGTCGGAGGCCATCCCGACCGTGATGGCTTTCATCACACAGCTGCAATGGCTGCTGGTTCCCGCGTGGTGAAGCTACACATGAGACGCTGGACGCCAGAACGGAGCGATTCCGCGTACCCTAGCAAAGTCACTCTGTCCCCGACTTGCCTTCCGGACATATAAGAATTGTTAAAAGGAGTGAGTGCGACTTTCTCACCTTGAAGCGAACGCAAACATCCCTTTTGACGGCGTGAGCCGCAGGATAAACCGAAATCCAACATAAACTCAAACACGGGTCCTCCTTACGACCACCTTTTCCACTCCAAAATCCATCACCCCCCAAGTAATGTTTGTGGACCCACCTTGCTGAAGTGAATACTGCTGGTCACTCTGTTCGAGCACTCCACCATCATGTCTCCCGTGTGGTCCAACGTGCGGCCTGTAGGTGACACCAGGTTGGTAACCGAAGTGGTGACCTTGTTCCACGTGTACGTCTCTCGCCACCTAGGAGAACAGACAATTAAGCTTGATCAGGTATTTTCGAGCCCGCCTCCCCACCTCCCTCGATCTCCATTTCCAGCATCGCTGCTCTTTTGCAGTGATGAACAGCGCACGTCACTCTTCAGAGTTCCGACTTCCCGTTGCATTTAAGTGATTCGACTGACTGCCCAAGAAAAAAGAGATTTCTGCAGGGGACGGTTTAGAATTACTTAGCCTCTACATCATTGCCATTAGTGATCTGAGATCGGCATCAAGTTGGTGAATTCCGACATCTGAGGGCCCTGGGAACTAAACCTCACTCTTAAAAAATTTTTCGGAGATGATGCAAGCAGTATCAACAAGATTGACCAATCAAAATCGACTTCAAATAAGGGATCGCACACCTCCTTACCGAGGGAAGTAGAGGTGACACCCGCCTGTGGCATTGATCTCCAGGGTTTTGCCCCAAAATTTGTACTTGATCCCAAATTCCTGATCGAAAACCCACAATTTGGATTCGCAGTGGGCTGTCGCAGTGGGCGGGGAGTTGCTCACCTAAAACACGGAAAAGTCAGACGCCTTCATTCCAAAGTGGACGATCTGCTCGACTTTGAATGACCAACTCCTGAATAGCTCAAGTGTATCAATAATTCTAGACTCCAGTCTGATTTTGTCCTACCTGTTCAGCCAAGAACCGCCACTGTTTTTCCGGTCGGATGCATTCAAAAGTCTCGCCCAGAAGGGGAGCAAAGGACTTCGTAGCCGTTCGAGTAGCTGTGCTTGCGTAGCCAGATATAGCGAAGGTGGCTACGTAGAGCTTAAGAAGGTGACAAGCAAAAAAAAACAAAAGCGTTGACAGGGTGAAACGAATAATCCCGCGCCGACTTTACTGTCAAATTAACCTACCATCCTCTGCATTGGATCCTTCATTTCCACCGCTGCGTCCAGCAATTGACTGTATTCCATTTCTTCGCAGAGGTTCTAATTCAGCAGAGGGAAAAGATTATTAATTCACTAAACTGTTTATGGGCGTCTTCCATGACTTGATTCCTTTCCTAGGCCATTCCATTTTTCGCTGCCCTCTCATTCTCGATTTTCCACTTAACTTCTGGTTTTGTGTGACCGACCCGACTAAGACAGCAACACACCCCAATGCGTCGGCTAAACACCACGCCTAAGCATCGCGGAAGGAGGTGGTTGGCTTAATTTGTGGAAGTAAGCAACAGGAGGGCCAAAGAAGTTACTCTCACTTCCGTTTTTGCCTTCCGACAGAATTGAAGGTGATGGAAGAGACACTAACCTGAAGAACACTCAGCGGTTCATTCAGAATGGCAGGCAGCCTCATTTTCGTTAAGTCGCGTCCAATATTGCTAAAATTAATTTTAAATGTAAGGGTGAAATTGCCATTTACGCCCATCTGTCGGTACATATGCCTGTTGCTACTGCTGGTGGAAATGAGTAGTACGTTATTCGGGAAAGGGACATCAACAAATAGTGGATTTTGAATGAGTTCTCCTGTCTGAAAAGATGCATACTATGAGCGTGAACTTAAATACAATGTAATTTGCTTAGAAATAGTTGCTTTAAAATGGGTATTGAAAAAAATTTAGACAGATTTTTATAAAAAAGATATTGTAGATCAGAATAGCACCAAACGTTCCATGCAAGCACATGCTACTTGCAATAACTTTGAAGTAGTATAGCGAAAACTTCCCCAAAACAGCTATACAAATCACTAAAGCGCTTACCACCTGGATCTCGGGTATGTATATCGTCCACCACAAGCATCCAAAAGTGTCAAAATCACGTACTTAGCCTCCCACCAAACGCACCAAAAATCTAACCTCTGATGATGTCGGCTGTTGCCGGATATCACAAGCTAACAATCAGCCCACTCAACATGTTTTATTAACCACTGCATAGCAACCATGTTCAAATTACCTTCGTAAAAGCGCCAGCAAACTGAAAGTTGGGGGGCTCGATTGTCGAGCAGGCAGGGCAGTTCTCCTACCCGCCACTGGCTCTGGATTCTTCAAGACCACACCATTCATGTCTGGCACGTTCATTTTTGACTCGTCTACAACAAAAAACAGAAAAGATTAGTAATTTTACTGTCCTTAACTAGTAGTGCTGCATAGGCGTCAATACAAAACTCACTTAGAAGTGGAATATCATCCGATTGCGAGTCCCCAGAGTTTTCGACACCGGAACTCTTAGAAGGCAATTATCAGTTATATTATAGGAAACTTACTTCGGAGTCGGAATCTGTCTCTATTCCCCCCCTAGGGGCCCGAAGTATTGTCTGCAATGAAAAGATGATGCATATTACTTATTAGCCTAAGTTGCCATTTCAGTAGTATGTTTAAAGTCTTCTCACAGATGCTAGAAATACGATCAAATGATCTGTTAAATAATTCGCCTTATTTGTGTGGTTCATATGAGAGGCATTGCTTCTAATTTATTACCGCTGAAATTATCGTTGACGCGAAGAGGAATCGGGTGGAGTGGATGGACTGATTGACAAGTTAGGCAACTTTACAGCGGAAAATTTGGCACCAAAAAAGAGAACTCGGACTCCCCTCTTTTAAAATATTGTCATTACCTGGCAGTATTTTGTTCTAATTATACTACTAATTAACGTGATTTTATTTATGTGCGTCACATATGCGTGACGGACTGGTTTAGACATGCCAAATTGAGCAGTCATGTAGACATGAATAGATTTCTAACTAGAGAGGTAAAATTTGCTGCAAAAGTTTAATACGTGCTATGAGACATGCATCATGAGTAATGACAAGTGACTTTTGAGTGTTGAAAGCACGGTTCATTGCACAGTCACTGCATTCTCAGAGGCTTATACGCCTATCTTGGTGGTAGGACCTTTTGATCGCGTAATTGATGTTTCAATCTCTCTGAGTAATAAAAATAAGTCATTCTTGGCACCTTAATGGTGATTTATGGCGCTGCACTAGCAGCTGGGTTCAATAAACCCGCTCTAAATATAAAAGTCCCTGCATAGTTCAATTCACGGAGACTTTGGCAGCCAAAGGCTTCGCCGTTGCCGTACCCACTTTTAACTACTTCCTCAAACACGTGATTGACAAGAATGCAACAACCACCTACAGCGGCTTTGCACTAGAAATTGACATGACATCTCCGCTGCGTTCGAAAGGCAGTCAAATGTGACAACTGCAAACGCCATTCCTAAGCCCCTTCCCTCTGCCTATTCTGTGAGTCTGTAAGTGGCACCACCTCTTGAACTATCGATCAGGCACCTCGTAGTACGCTTTACCGCCCTGTGTAACATCTAAGCGGCGGCACTCAAAAGTGTAGCGCATACACACAAACATCTTCATTGTCATGTGAGGCAAATAACTGGTTGACTGGAACTTGATTGTCACTTTGATGTTCAAAGGAAAGCATTTCCCCACTTGTCAAATCAGCAGCAGACTGGCTGTCAGATGGGTGTGGGTAAGGTGAAGGTCAAATTGACATCGTCCGTCAGGGTGGAGATTCGCCCACTTCCACGAGGAGCAGACAGGGGAGTCGAGGAGATGAGATACCTAACTACTTCCGCATTCTCCAGTTTTTCCTTTCTTCTTTTACTTTTCCCTCTATTCAGACGACTGCCTGCTACGGATAAAGCATTTACTAGGTGAAGAGATTGCACTTTTCGAGGGAGGGCCTTTGAGATCAGTGGGAAATGCCAATCTTATTTGCCAATGCGGGTCCGCAGGTGCGGTGTGTGCACCCATGGAGTGTGTAAAAAGGTAATTTATTAATTACTTGAAGGCACCATGGCGCATGTGACTAGAGAAAGGAGAAAGAAGTGAATAAAAAAAAGCCTCCAGTCTACCCACGCGGAGTGGACTATGTTAGAGAACCGTCAAAAGACGGGATTTGAGGATGATGGTGAAATAGCCTCGCTGAGAGATGGGGCGCCTGTTTCGATTATGTGCGAGGCTTGTTAGTCACCTCCACTTAAAGTCGCCTGTGTGGCTGGCATTTAAGGGGATTTGTGCAATTTCAAAAATTGATGACAGGTGTAGGTGGCAAATACTCACATCGCCAGACGGCAAACAAAAGAAAAATTGAAAGAAGAGAGGCAGACATTGTTGTAGCCAACGATTTTGACGTCCTTAGCCCCGGGGGTAAAGCCACGAATTGAAAAGGAGGGTCAGGCATTTCAATCAACCTCAACCGCATCATCTACAGGTTGACTTGATGTTAGGCTAGTTGCGTTAATCTCCAGGATGGTCTCCAACCACATATCATTTACACCAATTCTGCAACCGAGACACCATTGCTTCGAAGGGGTACTTCCAAGCACCTCACACTCATAGGTCAACTCCAT